GAAATTAAAACTTTTGTGATGTAATGTAAATAAGAAAACCCGGTAAGTTTTACCTTTTTTCTTTCCACTGTACATGTTTTTAAAATTTGTTGATTACATAAATTTTTATTCGTCTTACCAAAAAATAAAAAGCAACGTGATTGACGTCAATGATATTTTTATAAACACAATCGGATATAAAAAGTATATATACAATACTTTTTAGAATTCTGTTGTTCACACCTATGTTTATTAGGTCTTTCGTTCGACTATGATTTAATCGTGTCTTTATATTACGTTAAATGATTGGAAATTTGTTTTTTTTAAACACGTTAAATACATTCAAATTGATTTATTTTTCCAATTCGTTATGAAATAAATGTACCGAGTATGTTGGTTCTCTACCTTTTTTGTAAATTATCTTTTTCGTACTACATTACATTTTATATTAATTACTATTCGTTTTTCCAAAATATATTAGAACAGAGCTTTTGTTTTACCGAGAAATATAAGGAGATATAGGTAATCGGATGTTTTCATTACATACACCTGCAATGTATGTAATATATTATATTACATATTAATACAATATATAAAATATATTTTGTTTACCAGATTGATTTGATGTGAAATGCTGTAATGATATTATAAAATGCACACACAGCTATAAAATAATGAAGAAAACATGGTATGTATTATATTTTAAAATAATTATTTGTTTTAGTAAATGAGTCTTATAGTATTTTTTTTGTAAATCATTTTTTTTATTACTTCAAACAGTTATAAAAATTAAAAATCAAATTATATGCAATACTTTTTATAATTCTATTGTTGACGCATATGTTTATTAAGTCCATCGTTCGACTGTGAATCAATTGTGATTTTTACCTTCTACGTACTATATGCTTTAAATGTGTTTTTAATATATTTATTAATTACACATTTATTTTTATATGTTTTACTAAAAAATATTAGAAGATATCTATTGATATCTATTGGATGTTTTCATTGATATTGCGTCTTTAAATCATTTTATATTATTATATATTTGTTTTAAATACATGCGATTTGATTTATATTTCCACATTATATAGGGGGATGTCTGTTGTATGTTTTCATTAAACATTTTCTTTGTTAAGGAATAATGCAGTTACTACTTCGGTACTAATGATTAACTAATAAAAACAAACACAACTATAAACTAAAGAAAACATGGTATGCCATGAATTTTTCAACTCATTCTTTCAATTATATATGTTGAATGTTATATTTTCGGTTTGTATAAATAAATCTTACAGTATCAGTTTTTACACTTGGATGAAAGGAAATGAATATAAATTAAAACTTATGTGATATTATAAGGATAATAGTAAACCCAGTATGTTTTAGCCTTAATGTAAATTATTTTCTTTTACAATATATGATTTGAATGTGTTTTTAAAACATTAATTACATTCATTTTTTTTTTTTGATTTACCATAAAATATTAGGGGAGAGCTATGGGATGTTTTCATTGAGAAGGAATGTGATTGACTTTACTGATATTTCAATTATCACAAACAGTTGTAAAATTTAAAAATCAAATTATATGCAACACTTTTTATAATTCTTTTGTTCACATTTGTTAATTAAGTCTATCGTTTGACTATGTTTTAATTGTATCTTTTAATTATGTTAAATAATTATAAATTTGTTTTTTAAATATGTCAAATTCATTAAATTTGATTTATTTTTTAAAATAATATAGGGAGATAGTGTTAGTGCGATAGATGTGTGTCAATGGTTCTATTGATACTATTCAAATCAAACCCAGCTATAAAATAAAGAAATCGTGGTACGGATTACAATTTTTAACACTCTTATTCCATTATGATACAAGTGTTTTTTTTTAAATATCTTGAACTGTATTGTTTACTTGGCTCATAGTGTTTCGCAGAGTAATTAATTAACAAGTGCTCGAACATGAGTGTAGTACTGTTGCCCTTCGTTCGACTATGACTCATTTGTGTCTTTAAATTATGTTAAATACATTCAATTTGATTAATTTTTCTAAATAATATAGGGAGAGAGCTGTTGAATGTTTTCGTTGCACTTTATTCTTTGGAATGGAATAGAATTCAACGTGTTATTGGTGCTAATGATAATATTCAAATCAAACCCAGCTATAAAATAAAGAAAACTTGGTATGTATTACAATATTTAACGCTCAAGTTCCTCTATGATATAAATGTCTTTGTAAAATATCTTTAACTATATATTGTTTATTTTGCTCATAGTGGGTTGCAGATTAATGAATTAACGAATGCTCAAACACCAGTGTAGTACTGTTGTACCCAAGAGCTTGGTTATTATTACACTTTTCTCCTAATATTATAAGAAAAATCTTGGTATAGTTTATTTATTTAAACTGTATCATACTGAAACGTTTTATATAATGATAAAAATATTTTCTTTGATTATGTTATGTTTCATATTTGTATACATTATCTTCACATATTTTTTAAGCTTAAAAGCACAAATATGCTATGATTACTAGAAACTTCCACACTCTGTCTTTCATAAATTATTTATGTTTTTATATATTCATTCTGTATATTTTTTTTAAATATTGTCGATAAGTACTTTTATGTTCTCTGAATGTGAGAAAGGGGTTGGCGACCTCCACGTGGTCTTTCTTGGATGCGTTTTTCACTGAGAATGATTATAGTGTAAAACGTAACTAACGCCAACATTTATGTATACACACCTATTATAGAGTATTCACTTATCGCTCAAATTTTTTTTTTCAGTTAACATCAAGGAAGGTCTTACTCCATTTTTATAGTTTTTTGTCTACAGACTCGCTTTGTATATATATTCATTATTTATTATTGAAAAAATACTTTTTATGCATTAGGTCTTCTTACTTTGAACCGACTGTACTGTATTTGAAAGTTTTTTTACTTTGATAATTTCATATCTAAAAAAAATGTCAAGTTCTCTAGCGTTTATGATACTTATAAATTGTTGTATCTAAGATACTTTTCATAAAAGTGTCCTTTCGGTAAGTTAAGTTATGGAAGAAGACACATATAATGCTTTTGTAATCATAAATATATATTTTATTCTGTAATTGAAATATCAAAATCTATATGCATATTTATACCACTTTTTAAATTCTATTCCATTCTATTAAATATAGTGATAATTTACATATTTAACTATTGTTGAGAAGACACTTAACTTTGCAACAGTACTATTATTATGTTTGATTATTTTCAATTACACTGCGATTTGCCATCTGCTATTTCATTTTTTTTATGTACATATAAATGTTTTATATATTTCTTATATTGGTTTTTATACGTTTGACACCATGCATCGATTGTCACTATAGTACCGTAAGTATGGTGCCGTAGTATTTTTAAGAAAACAATTAGGTGGGGGTCTCCTAGATAGCGAACGCCTTTGACGCCGAAGGCGTATCAATTTTCCACCCATATATTATCAAAAGTTAATAATTATCACAAGTAGTAACCGTGATAGTATTGCATGATACATTATACCTACATAATAATGTTTTGAATATTATTAATATTAATAATTCATATTATTAATTAAATTGATTAATATATAAATATTAAGCGAATTTCACCCGAAGTGAGGCACACAGAAGCTAGTCCTTATATAATTAATATCATTCAAAAAATAATAATAATTTTTTTTTTTCACTACATTTTAAAATCCTTATACCTTCCTGGTACTTTAGTCATTCTTTTAGAGCTATTACTAACTTCTTTATCTATAACATTTTTTTCTGCATTTATGCTCTGTACTTCTGGTGTTTTATGTAATAGTCTCCTATTTCTCCACAATTCTCTCCCATCATCCAATTTTACTATGTATGATCTTCTGTCCTTTACCTTATTTTTTATAACTCCTGGTTTTCACTGTTTCCCTTTTCTTTCTTTTTGCAGGTAAACCCTTGTCTCCTTCTTTTAACTCTTTTAATTCTTTAGTGCTTTTATCATAATACTGTTTTTGTTTAATTTGTAGTTCTATCAATTTTTCTCTGACTCTAACATATTTCCCTTTTTCCTCTTCTATAGGTAACAATCCCTTAATTTTCCTACCCATTAATATTTCTGCTGGAGATTCTAAATCTTTACTTATAGGTGTATTTCTATACTCTAGTAATGCTAGATATATATCTTTGTTATCCTCATCAGCCTTGATCAACATTTTTTTTACTGTTTGAATATGTCTTTCTACTATTCCATTTGATTGTGCATTTGTAGAACTTGACACTATGTGTTTTATATGCCATTCTTTTAAAAAATGTTGAAACTCTTCTGATGTATATTGAGTACCCCCATCGGATCTAATAATTCCAGGGATACCATGCCTAGAAAAATTACTTTTAATGGCATTAATAGTATTTAGACTAGTTAACTTAGGTATCATTACAAATTCTACGAATTTAGAGAAATAATCCACTAATATAACATAGTTTTTTCCTTGAAAATAAAACAGATCTGTTCCTACCACCTGCCATGGTTTCTCTGGTACCTCAGAACACTCAAGTGGCTCTTTTGTGTTAGCTTTTCTATATTTCAAACAAATTTGACACCTATTTACAACTTTTTCTATGTCTTTATTCATTCCAACCCAATATAAACAAGTTCTTGCTCTATATCTACACTTCTCAATTCCCATATGATTAAAATTAATCTTTTCTAACATTTCTTTTTTTAAACTATTTGGTACAATTATCCTATTCGATTTATATAGCACACCTTCATGTACTGTTATTAATTCTTTAGAATCCCAATACTTTTTAATTTCTTCATCCAATTGTTCTCTTCTTTCTGGCAAGCCTTCAATAACATAATTTTTTAATGTATTCAGTTTTTTATCAGATTCTGTAGCCAACTTAAATTCTTCATGTTTACTTTCACTTATTAATGAATATTTATTTACTTCCTCTATTGTTATTTCAACTTCTCTTTTCTCCCAATCATCAAATATACTGTCACCATTAGACTTTATTCTACTAAATGTATCAGCTATCAATAGTTCTTTACCAGGTTTGTATTTTACAATTAATTCATACTGTTGCAATTTTATTAAAATTCTTTGTAACCTCAACAGGCACAATGCTAGGGGTTTTTTAAATATGGACTCTAAAGGGCGATGATCAGTTTCTACATATACTTTTCTACCATAGATATATTGATGAAATCTATGACACCCAAGTGCAATCCCTAGAGCTTCCTTCTCAATTTGAGCATATTTTTCTGCGTATCAGTTAGTGACTTCTATGCATAAATAATAGGTAAATTATTTTGTAATAGTACAGCACCTAACCCGTCCTTTGTGATGCATCTACAGATAATATTAAGGGTAGTTTACAATCATAATACTATAAAACAGGCTCACTACTTAACATTTCTTTTATTTAATTTAAAGCGTCACTATGCTGTTTGGTCCATTCAAATATAACATGGATTAGAACTTAAAAATACTAATTTGTAAACAGTAGTAGATATAATTTATATTATTAAATCCATTATTACTCTATCGTAGAATTTTGCTGTGTAAAGGTAAGTTTTAAAAAACCATGTTTATATTATCCCCTGGTTTGAAATAGGTCCATTCCGTTTAGTAAAAATAAAATTTAAAGGATTTTTGTGCATATTTTTGACACGTAAAATAAACCTATTATATTCTTTTGTGTTTATAGTGACCAGTGTGAGCACTGCTTGACACACATGACCGCAACTTGCGCGTCAATGAAAAGTAATTAGCGCGAATGAACAAAATAAAACGATTTTACTTAAATAAATGAAAATCAACACATTTTTTCCCTTTTACGGTTGGGCAGTATCGTTTAAAAAACAGGTTGGTAAGCAAATTTTGAAAATTACGTACTTCGATTGTGTTTTATTCGAATAGAGGAATACTTGTGTTTAGAACACATTTAGAAAAAAATGCATTTGAGCTCTACGTCCGGTACAAAGCTGCGATTAGCACAAAATCGGAACTGTTTACCGGCCGCATTAGAATTCAAACTGTATCGGGTGATTCGCAAGAAAATCTTTATCGTCCAGCCGCAACTCTACGCAAGTCCAGACATTTGGCTACTAATACTTACCCTGAACAATACAACCAATTGATTCCACACGGAATAATATTATTAGATTTATTTGTTTTACGTGGCCCTTTTGCTGTATAAGTAGATACGATATACAAATTACGTTTTTAAACGTTACATATTGTACTGCTAGAGTTGAAAATCACAAATTTTCAATATTCCGAAACGTCATGAGTTCAACCATGGGTTATCTCGAGCATCAGCTATAACAGTTTACAGGTTATGGTCCGCGCGTTTCTTATCACAAACGTTGTAAACCGCGTGGAATCGTGAAACGAGCAATCGTGGATATTTTCCTCCATGACACTTTTCTCCACGACTCGACCGTCTCCCACCACCAGACTAAAGATTTTGCCGGAATACATCAACATTCAACACTCCTTCTCTTCCGTCGTGTGTAAGTACTCGTACACGTCTCTTATAGGTTTTCGTTAAATTTTAATTTTATTTTATAGTCTTACAGCTAAAATGGCTCCCAAACACGGATTGTTCAACAAGGTATGTATCAAAACACTTGAAAACTAACGTTAAACTACGCGTACGAAGTTAAACACCAAATTTTTGATTTTTCATTCTTTTGAGGTTAACTTGTGCCTGCGTTTTCGCATTTACACAAAATACGATTATTTAAACGTTCTCGTTCACTTTTGTCACATTTATTAATTTATTCTAATTGTTTATGTTGAATTACACACTGTTCGTTACAATTAATAAGCGTTTGGGATTTCTTAACTTTTTTTTTTAATACTGTATTTTTATCGCAATAGCTGTTCATTTTTATTATGATGTAAACATGTTATTTATTTTAAAATGATTTTTGGCATCAGATTTTTATCGAAATTGATTATTCCGTTTATTTATTGCAGCGCATTTACATCGATGCCAAAGACCATCTACTTGGAAAGTTGGCATCATATGTTTCTAAAGCTATCCTGGAAGGAAACAAAGTTGTCGTATTCAATTGCGACAAAATTAACATTGCTGGTAGCTTTTACAGGTTTGAAAATTTGATATAATAATGTTTTAATTTACATTGTGTATAATATTTGTTTGTTTTCACAGAAACAAGATTAAGTACTTATCTTTCTTACGCAAGAGATGTAATGTAAACCCTGCTCGTGGACCATTCCATCATCGTGCCCCCAGATGTATATTCAGAAGAACTGTCCGTGGTATGTTTTAAGTCTTACTAAATGAAAATAATATCTGCCTAATATTTGAATATCTAAAGACATGAAAATTATACTATTTGATTAAAACACATTGTAGTATTTTTATCAGCAAAACAGTTGTAGAAGCTGAATAATTCTATAGATTTTCCATTATAATTAATAAAAATCAATACTGATATGCAGTCTCGAACAGTCTAATTGTATTATTCCTCAATAAATAGTCATTATTAATATACCAAATTGTTTATAATGTTTAATAATAATTAAGAATTTAAAAATAAAAATTCAAATTAAATATTTGGTATATCGTAACTTTCTTAACTATTGAATTTAGAACTGAACTTATGTTGAGATCAATTACTAATTATTATATTTTATTATGTAATTATACTGTTATATTATTATAGTTTTTTACCTTAACAGTATATTTATACTGTTTTATAAGTATTATTTTTTAATAACTATACTTTTAAAACTAATCAAATAATTACTCTTTAATGATTTCAAAATAATTGCCTTACTTACATTAATTGAAACCAATAGTTTTTGAAAATTAAATTTGTATGAAAAGAGATTGTAATAAATATATTAAATATATATAATATGTTTAATGTGGATGACGCCTTATGTTGTCATTTATATAATTGTATTGTTTTATACGTAAGTTTTCAATTAAGTATTAAAATAATTCTTAGCTTCTGACTAGTCATTCAGTGGTGCTACTAAGTATAAAAAATAAACATGTAATTTTGACCAATACCAGTGAATATATGTATTAAAATTTGATCATTAGCAAACATGTTAAAGTAGGAATAAATCTCAGTTATACACCAACAATATGATTAAACATTAAACTAATTTAAAATTATCATCTCATCAAATTTTACTTTGGATATAAATGTGTCTTCAATGATTATTAAAATCAAACCTTATCTACATTAATTGAAATCTATGAAAATTAAAAATATTTATGAGAAACACATTTATAATCTTTTAAAAGTTTTACTCTTTGATGATTACTAAGCAATCCTTACCTACATTACTTGATGTTAAAACTTTGAAAATATTGTGTTATATGAAAAGAGTTTAGAAGTCATGACAACTAAGTAAATATTTATTATATTTTCTTCATAACTTAAAGAGTAATTAAAATATTTATCTTTTCCATAAATAATGATATTCTTTTATGATTATTTTTGATAATTATTCTTTACTTTCATTACTTAAGATAATTAACGTCTATGAAATATTTTATAAATGAGAAGAATACCTATTGATTTTTTTACAGAATATGTGTCTACGCTATATAATAGGGGGATGGGCAACTGGCGGTCCGCAGATTGCATCTGATCTGCATACTTATTTTATTTGGCCCGTATTACATTTTCAAATCACTTCATTACATTTTACCATTTATCTGTATCTAATTTTTTCACATTGATCGTAAAATGTAGGTATTATATTTTTATAACTAAAGCTAAATTGTGAAATGTCTGAATATTTTATATCCATATCAGCTAACTTTGCTGAATGGTTAACCAATTTGGATATCCGAATTCAATTTATTTGCTTACCTGTGCTTTATAATATGTATTTTACTTGTCAACAGATCAGTGACTATTTGCGAGTATAGTTTAAATTATTCAATTATATCAAATTTTTTTTTATTTGAATAACTTTAAATATTAGGAATAATAGAAGATAATGTCCTAAGTAGTTTGATGAAGTAAAAAAATGCTGTATTATTTTTAGTGTTGTGTGCCGTCAGTTCAATGTTGAAGATGAATGTGAAGGTGTTTCAAATAATAACTCAACAACTTTATTATAAAATATTTTAAGTTCAAGCATTAGTTGTGAAATAATTCACAATAAGTCCAAACATTTAATTTATTATGTTAACTGGCATGAAGGTTAATAACCACCTAACCTTGCTATGACCAGACTAAGACACATCTGAATATTGGTCGGTTTGGAACATTCTTTTACACCCTGTTCTTGTATGATACTGTGGTCCTCTCAAGAGGTGAACACGTTTGATTCGGATATGGTTCAATTTATGTTTCAATTAGTATTTTATATTTAATAACTGGTGTTAAAAATATGTTTTAATTTAAGTACCTTATATATATATATATATATGTTACTATTGTTCTAATTAAGGTACCTATTCTATTTTAATACTATTGTATGCTTGGGTGATTGGTCTCAGGACTTCTGAGAAACACATAACTAACCTAACTTCATATTATTGTATTCATAGCGACTTGTATTTGTATATCATTATAATAAATTATAATTATAATAAATTTGTAGTAGGAGTTATTTTAATATTAGTTATGTGATCAATCCCCTCCTCCATGTAATAATAATTGTACATTTATGTATGTTTGTAATATTAGATAAAAAGTTATATTCTGATATTTACAATTCAATAACTAACATTGTTAATTTTTATCTATTACCCTTTATATTTTACTCATTATTATCAGTTGTCCTGTTCTTAGTATAGAAGAATAACTAAAAAAAATCCTAACACAACTTTTTATTTCAATATATTATTTTTTTTTAGTTTTTAAATTCCAGAAAAATAATTGTTGTTTTTTAAATTTCTTATTAGTATTCATAATATGTATCTTAAACTTTTATTTTTAGGTATGATCCCTCACAAAACTACTCGTGGCCAACAAGCTTTAAGGCGTATGAAGGCATACGAAGATATCCCAGCACGTTACACATCTCAAAAAACAATGGTTGTACCTTTGGCTATGAGAATGTTGAGTCTACAACGTGGACGTAAATACTGTGATGTTGGTCGTCTGTCTCATGAAGTTGGATGGAAATACCAACATGTTGTCAAGGACTACGAAGCACGCCGTTTAGAACGTGAAGCTAAACGTGCTCAACGTTTGAAGATCAGACATGTAAGTTGTAGTTATATGCATAAATATAAAATGTAACCTTATTTTTTTTCTTAGAAATTGACCAGAGAAGCAAACAAGAAGGTAAAGAAGGTAATTGAACCATACAATCAAGTCTTGAGGGAAAGTGGTTACTATGTACCGGCATTAGTATGAGATGGTTTTTTGTAACATTAAAAAATAAATAAATATGAAATGTTCATAATTATATTTTATATTTTTTCATCCTTGTTTACAAAAATTATAAATTATTAACATAAAAAGATTCCATTAATTTAATGAAGTATAAATGATTATATGTACATATTTAAATACAAGTTTTATAATAATTCATTGTTACATAAATAAGTAAGATATAAATGATGATGTGTTGTGTTCAGCTTGGTACAGCTACATATAGGACATATTTGAGTGTTCTATTAAATGAAATACTCGAGCCATGTGAACCACAAAAAGCGCCTGTCAACAAAAATCTGGCTTAGGGCTATAAACTTAAAATGTAAATTCTAAGTTAATCTAAGAAAACTAACATTTTTAAGATTTATAAATGACATTTACACTTATCAAGTAATCCAATTTTTCAACACATTTGCTACGTTTGATGGCTTTTTAGTCCAAGTAGAATCTCGTTTTTTGATTAAATGTATTCTAAAATCATAATTTATCATTATTAAACATTTCTTTTATACAGCGGTTCCCAAACTTTTTCGTGGTGCCTTTTTTTTGGACTCAATTTAACCTTGGTGCCTTGCAGTGAGTAACATGAAAGACAGGACAAAAAAATACTCATTGATAACTATTTTTACTAATTTTATTAAAATTTAACTTGATTATAAATAAATGAATTTTTAAACTTAAAAATTAATTAAATAAAAATTATTGTCATCATTATTATAATTACATAAAAATATAAGGTTAAAATAAGAATGTCCGAATATACAATAAAAAATATTTCATTATTTGCTAGCAAGTTTTTACGAAAACAATAAGGAAAAAAAATGTAAACGTTATAAACTATTTGTTATGAACCCTAGACCACGGTGCCCTTAGAAATTGCTTGCAGTGCACAGTTTGAAAACTGCTGCTTTTATAAATATTTTATTGCAACTTTTTTAACCTGGAATTTTATTATTGAAACAAATTGTTTACTACTTATGTACATTGTCTACTTACAAACGCAGTAAATGTGTTAAACATTTAAAAACAATTCATAGTGTTATAATTTGACATAATTCAATATTTTTGTCAGTCAAAGTAAAAATAATTCATTATACATAACAAATTTAAATTTGGTATGATAAAAAATTTAATTTAATTCTTCAAATATTTTTGGATAACGGTGAGTGGCAATTTACTGTAGGTATTCATTAAGATTTAATAATAAGATATTTGTTATGTATAACAGTGTAAGTTATTTAATAAATATTTTATTATTTATAGGTGTATCTTTTCAAAAATCAAATCTGAAAAATATTCCTTATAAATGTTTGATTTCTTATGAATTTGCATAATTTCGTAGTTAATGCTATGTCAATTAGATTATGATATGTAAATTATTTAAATTATTGATTCTTTAAAATCCATTCAGATGACAAGTATTTAATAATTATAGATTTGTAAGCTATCGAAAACATTTTAAAAATATAAGAAAAAATATTGAAATTCATAAATAATTAACTTTAAAGTAAACCATTTTTATATTTTTCATATATAACTAACTATACATAAAGTAATATATGTATTTAATTGAATTTTCATGTCATTTATAATTTTTTAAAAAAAAGGAGTTTGTGTTGATGTTTGCTTACACTAGGCCGTAAAATCGATAAAATTCAGTTTTTCGACTAAATTTTAACAAGTTTGGTACATGCGAGCAACACAATGTCGTGTTTATAGGAATTTCATTGTTGTTTGTCTTTCATTTTCGATATCCACAACATTCGTTTACTACTGTTGATACAGTTAACTGATGCTTCGAAAATATAAACAATGTGTCGATCATCAATACTTAGATAAGTGTGTAAGAAATCAACCATAAACGACGGGAGATACATTATGGATGGCAATTAACCATAATATATTATCGCGGTTCAAAAATTCGTCTGTAGAAATCGAGTGAAATTAGATTATTATTATGTAAATATTAGCTAAAACTAATAGGTTGAATTTCATTACTCAAACAAGATATTGTACGCTTAAATTGTCGATTGATAAGTATTAAAAACCGATTATTAACATTGTAGTCAGTACTGATTATATTAATTTGTGGAATGCAGATATTCTAATACCCAGTGGCGGACTTGAAATGATCTTCCCCAAAGTTGATAGGTTAGTGTAGGTATTTGCTAAATATTTACTAAGATAAAATAACAAAAAAAAAAAAAAACATTAGAATTTATTGTTTATTATTTTAAATAAATATTGTTTTTTAGTATCTAATGTATGTTGTATATTTATTTTATGTGTATTATAAATTATTACGAAGTCAATTATTTCATTATACCAACAACAATACTTTTTTATCAACATATGGTTAATTTATTTTTTTCCAAAGACATCATCACCATTATTTGTTGGGATTTCTTCGTTTGCTTTTGATCATAATATTATTATACCGTCAATCATATGTTAAAAACACATTTCCATATGCTTACAGACTGCATTCGTGCGTCATGGTTACTTTTCATGATGTAACAGCATCATAACTATTGTTGTATTTTAGCGATTTATACATGAAAAAAATAATAAATAAATTAACCACACGTTTAAAATGAGCGTTGAGTTAATCTGACAACATTCTAATTTCTTCAATAGAACAGAGTCAGAGGTGTGCCTGGGGGATGGAGTTAAGACCCCTCACCCCAAAATCTAAACGAATTTAGAAAAAAAAAATATTTTTTAATATTTTTATATAATTTAAGTTTAATATCACAAAAATTTACCAAAGTTATTTATATAATCAATTGCCCATCCATTTATTACTAAGAAAAGATTGACCATAGTCCGTGAAATCGAAAATATACCATCTTTTTTTATTTACTATATTATAACCTTATTGATAAAATTATTAAAATTAGTAGAAGATGAAAAGATAGGGAAAAATAATGATTAAATTATTCAGTATTTAACAAGACCAATTTATGATGAAAATGATTCAAAATGAAGGCATCGTAAATTATTATTAATATTTTTTTTTTTAATACTATTATTGAATAATAAGTATATTATAATTTCTATAAATATTGAGTACACGCTAATATTGTCATCTTATGATAAATTTGAAATACGTGGTAGTAAATATTTTGCTCCCCTCCCTCCCACAAAAAACAATTTTAGTCACGCCCCAGTACAGAATGACCAGGCGCTTTACTTATTGAATTAATTGAATTACGAGTAAATAACACGTGTAAAAAATTCATGTAGGACTAACTGCAAGTATAAAAAAACTAGTAGTTCAAGTCAATTTTGAAAAAAAATAAATTCTTATAAAGTATTGCAATTCTCGAATTCGTTTTTTTTAAGTTTTGTATATGTAAACTTTTTACACAGTTCAAGTATGCTGCAGGTGTAATATTTTTTAATATTCCATTTACCAAAAAAACCGTATAAAATATAAAAAAAACGAAACCTAACCTGATTGAAAGAGATCGGTTTATATTTCTAAAAGTGGTCAATATAGTAGTAGAACCGAATAAGGATGTTTGAACTTTTAGCTGGAAATTTATAGTGCGTATATAACCACAAATTTTACTAACATATTTCGTAAATTATAAAATACCAATATAAATAGCCCAGTACAATAGTCCGTGACGAAATACTAGGCGTTACCGAGTTCGAAACTCTATCTCGGCCGAAGAAGTTTTTTGTAATGTTTTCCCCATTTTTTTTTAGTTATTCGGGGAACTTTCGAAAAATTAAAAAAATGACACCTTCAAAGTATCATTAAACAGACATAATTTCTTATCTGAAATTTTCCATGACTGTAATGATCAGAACTATACTTCTTGTGGAAATCGAATATGTACAGACAAAAAATAAAACATCAATACATTTCTCGTTTCACTCAGAATTTAAAATTCAAACATTAAGAACGTGATGTCCACACAATATTGTGTTGTGATATGTTTCTATTTTGTTTCGTCGATGTGAACGAAAAACTCACTATATTAGTCTAATTACACGCTAAATACACTATGTCTTACAGTTCTGTCAACAAGTTTTCTTTCATCGTTTCTGATTTTCATCGATTTTGTTGACCTAGCGTAAGTCGGTCATTAGATTATTAATCTTACTTCTACGGGTGCATGTGCACGTGGCGATATAAAATACAGTATTATAGTGCTGATGTATAACAAATACATATAATAGTCAAAATACAATGATATAACTATGATTTTATTAACATTATATATACATATATATTAATGTATATACAAATCAAATAATTACACAACTAATAATGCAAACAAAATGTATAAAAAATAACATGACATCACAATGTAAGCCTTAATAAAAGCAAAATGTATAAAAGTAAAAATATAATAAAAATATTAATGATAAACTATTGTATAGCCAAGAATAATACTGATCGAAAAAAGATAATTATATAATATTCGTAGTAATAATAGCATAATGCAAATCAATAATAACATGCTCGGGTGAAAAAATATACTACGGTTTATATCAAGAATAGATTATAATAATTGGGTATATGGTCATAACATCTCGAGAAAATGTTTGTAAATATTTATTTTTATTATATAAATTTTAAATTAAAATTCCTCCTAGGTGCAAGAATTACACGTGTTTTTTTTTTTTTTTGTTTTATGGAAGTTAAAGTGACACTATAAAATATTGTATTTGGTCACTACACTACGAGTGATGAAACGTATCTAAATAGTTATAGGTCATATAACCATTATGTTACACTTAAATTTTTTACTTGAAATCCATACACTGTTCCAGGACGTTTTTGAGTTTTATGAAAAAATAGTTAATTTACCTTGCACGTTGGTGTAAAATCTATATGATATTTTTCTACATAAATTTAACCATGCATCGTTAATAGATAATAAAATAATACTGTAGAAAATAGTTTTTTCTCCTAACGAAGTAAATTCTGTAAAAACCGCGGTTACCGTATAATTGTCCGTGAAATGGTTTAATTGTACAAAGCATGAACTCTATCTAGTATTTGTTTCATATTTTTGATTATTCTCAACAACCTATGGTAGATGCATTTTTTTATAGTATAAAAATAAAACGTGGTTTACTAACGGAATAGTTAGATTGTAATTTTTCTTGGTGCACCACGAGTAGTAAGAATCATTTGCGTCCGAAAGCGCAGTGGAAAATAAACTACAGATATCTCAATTAATGTTGCTGATTGCTACCGAAGTACTGACTATGGTCGATAAAAAAAAAAAAAAACAATTTTACTGCGCGTACCCGGTAATAACGTAATGATTTGTTTTTGACATACTTATCCTATAAATGCTTAATCAACTGCGCTTAAATTTAATGCGAATATTGATAATCAAACATCATTAAATTTACGCGTCTGAAGATAAACGAATAAGTGAATGCAATATATCTGATATCCGAAACCTTCAGTAGATATACGATTTAATTTGTGCATACAACAGAACATATTATTTGTTAACCTTAAAAACATCTTTACGTTTATAAATACAAAAATAATAATTTATTTAGTCTTTGGTACAATACACACACATATATATAGTCTTCATATAAATAGGTTTTTAAATGCGTTATTTAATTCAGTTTAAAATAAAATAAAAAACCGACTACAAAATAGAAAAAAAGAAAGAGAGAGAAAAAATTGATTATAGACATTTCTATTCGCTCATTCAATCAATGAAAATGTAGTTGTATTTTTTTTAGCGATTACTTCCCTGCTTATCATAGCAACAGCGAGTACTTATTGGATGGAACGGTACCACTGGGGGACGTATGCAGGTAGTTGACTAAAAACAAAAAAAAAACACACACAAACACGTGAATATATCCATGTACACATCATCGATTATTATGCTTTTGTGCGTCATGATCAAATAACGTAAGTACGTATGAGCGTGCGTGCAGACTGCGTTTAAAGCGAACATTTCCCCTGAGCAACGTTACACGAACACCGTTTTCATACTATGCAATAATTCGGTACATTTAAAACCGTTTAAATTGTTTTCCTACCGTCCGCGAAAACCGTAAGCTTCGTGAACCGAACGGGGGAAATTGACTAGAGATTTGTTATGAACGCACTGTCCACGGTGTCCAATAACGTCGAAGACGTACTTATCACCCCCCCCCCTCAATTATTATATCCTGGGGTGGACTGGCCAAGGAGGCAAAGGAGATTCGCATTTCGGGTCTTCGATAGTGTCATAATAAAAAAAAATGTATGCATAGGTATTCGTATACAAAATGTTGTTACATGTTGTTAAAATATTATTATTATAACTATTATTATTAAATAAGACACCATTAATTTACTATCTGACCAATGTGAATCGAAACGGATTGAGCACTATTGACCGAAAACATTTATTTGTCGATATGCGATAAGTCCAGTTGATTAAGCTCTCGGGCCCCACGATACCAGGTCCGCCCTTGTTCACGCGTATCGTTCGCGAAAAAAGCGGCGGCGGCGGTTCGATGGCCGTCGCGAAACCGAAATATTCATATAATCCGCATTAACGGGACGCGCGCCCATACGCACAGCGAAGCGCCACGTGCTCACACATCGCACGCGCGCAACAAGCTCACACGTGCAACGGGCCCACCCGCCGTGTCAAATCGGCTGCGGCTGCGTGCTGGGCGCGTAGTCATATGACGTTCGCATGGAACCGCTTCGGCTCACAGTCGCGCTGCTGCTGTTCCGGTGGATGTCACCGTGTGCCGGCCGCAAAAAAATCGACTTGATCAGCTGCCAGTGGTGCAGCACGTACAGGTACGGGTCCAGCGCGAAGTGCAGTGCCAGCAGTATGTCGGCCACGTACAGCAGCGGCTTCAGCTTGTTCTCGTTCGCCACGATCCTGGTCAACGGCACCGCTATCTGTGGTGTGCACACGCGCGGGAGCCGATCGAAACCGACACAATAAGTATATGTTAAACAAACCACGACAGGGCTCTGGTGGGTGAGTTACACGCGCTCGACGATGTCACCAGCCCTTGTCTCCCTCCCTAATACCATTTTCGCCGTGGAACCACGATATAACCTAAGTCCTAATCGAACCTTAACCCTAACCCAACCTAACCTAAGCTCCGAAAGTACGGCTATGACGGTAGTAGTCTCGCACACACGGGCTCTACGAGATGTGGGAGGGTGGTCAGGACGTTGTTTCGGGTCTGATCCAAGCACGTAATTTAGAGAGGCCATCAGAGCAATCACTCCTCTCCCCCAAAGACCGTATTATAGTAACCACGCATTAAGATATACAGCGTATACCATAGCGTATGGCTATTTATTTATCATTTTAAAAACATATGTATAAATAATGAATATTCATTAAAAAATGTTTGAGAATAGTTTCAAACAAAAAGTAAAATATACATAATATGTTTTGTAAAGGTCCCATTTATACGAAATCTGGTTAGTAATTCATAAATATAAAATAAAACAATTTAAGTGAACGGCTAAATGAACACGTTCATTTTTTCATAGAACTTGAACATGAACGTGTTCACTTTAAGAAAAATGAACGTGAACTTGACCGAGTTAAATTTTTGAAGTGAACACTGAGAATTCAATGATCTCGAAAACCGGATGTAGTTTCATAATTGGTATTTCGGTGATCTATGGACATTTATAACAGTGTAGCCGTCAAATTACTCCACAAATTTTGCATGGGAATTATAAACATATTAAATTCTTCAAAATTATTGATAAATTTATTTGATAGAGTGCGCACTACGAACAGAGTTACGATGTTCCCGCATTAGAATGCTCCTAAACAGTTATTTTGTATGGTTAGTCTTGACTACATCCGTGTTCGTTCGTGATACCTGTGGAAAAATTAATGAACGACATTCGTTCAACGCAACTTCAATCAAGATAAATAAAGAAAAATATTTAGTTTTAAGAATTTTAAATATTCATGAAAGACAAAATTATATTTTAATTATAAAATATTAGAAGAAAAAAAAAGGAAATTCAAAAAGAAAATCCTGTAGCGCGCCCTTCTCTCATCTTTAATACGTTCATTGTAAAGTACTTTTATAAGAATTACTTCACAATTTTAAATTAAGCACGGTACGTCTATACAATATTGTAATGAGACAGATTATGCGCAAGCAATCGGAAATTCCAATCAATTACGTGATCGTCGTATGTCTTTAATTTATCAAAGGGCAGACACAATTTTAACAAAATAAAAATACACTCGTTCTACAATTCGGGGTATAAAACGATTAAAATAATGTTCGACATAATATTATGTTTATAGAACAACAAAAACGTGTTAGTGGTAAACTCATAGTCACTCACACACGTACATGTAAAAATAATTATTAATAAATAATGCCTGAAAATTAATTGTGCAATTTTAAATGTATAGAATGAAATATTGTCTTTTAGAAAAATTAGTCAAATAATATTAAATATCAATATAAATAAAATGTTTCTAAAAAAAAAAAATGTGAATGTTTCTTTAATAATAGTAATCTTTAAATTTATTTCAAAACCTATTCACTGTATTATTTTGTGTTACAAATAATTGAAATAATTGAAATGACCTTGAATTACAATTTTCCAGCTATCGTACAAATTTAACCCATTCGGGATCATCGAAGGATGATGAAAACCGATTGAAATAGTCAATATCCGTATAAATGACTTGTTCCTAAAAATAATATTTTAAATTGTTATTTTTGTATATATATATATCAGACTGAGTATGATTGAAAATTTTATCGGGTGGGTACTTCTGTAATATGGTTAAAAACAACGTGATTGTTGGTGACATCATTATTTAGAGTCTTACTGTTAAGATAACGACACACAATTAAGTGCTGCATCCGTCTTACGAATGTACTATATGGTAATTTCGCGTCTAGTATACCCAGTGAAATTAACTTGGTGAAATTAAAGAAGGAGGACTCTGTTTACTTTAAAAGAAAGAGTATCCCCGAGACCTGTTAAGCGTTATAATTATAACTTAATGATAGTAAGGGGAAGCTAACATTTCCGAAAATTTGTTGGGATATTCCGTCTCCCTGCATCCCCTCACAAGTCGAGCACTAAATATACCGATAGCAAACTATTTTTTTAAATCAGTGTTTCTCCACCGGGGGTACTCAGGGAAAAAAAGGGTAATGGCGGAAAATGTAAATATTGTGAATGAAATGTATTTGAATTAATACATTTTTATGAAATATGTAATAACGAGAAATGTGTTTGTGGAAAAGGCTTTTTCGTCATACACATTTATTAAAAATAAGTATCTTAAAAGACTTTTTGGAAGTTCAGGCTTATAAGTTTATCATATGTGAAATCATATTTCCAAAATTAAGTGTTACCAAACAACCCCAATGATCATATTAATATTAAATTGTAAAATGTATATTATTTTTTATATAGGTACATTTTATGACGTATACTGATTAAAATAAATAAATACTTCAAAATAATTTGTTTCCTATTAAAACTGGTTTTATAATTTTTTACCAATTTTATGTGGTAATAGATAAATCGACAGTTGGGGTGCGTAAAGCAATAACGCAGTGGCGGTCAAACGGGGGTGGGGGTGAGGGGGATAGATCCCCCCCATGACCTTTTTTTAAATATTTATAATTCATCCATATTATACATAATAATTGTATTATGGTATTCATCTATTTTCTATTTAAAAAAATAAATATACTGTACTTATTAGTTATTATACAGTCTCTAGGCTCGAATAAAATTAACAGTTCAAACATAAAACACTAAAATATTAATTGAAACAAACTTTTTAGATTTTTTTCATTTCCTTTATAGTTAAATTATAAGAATGTATAAAATTTAAATTTAGTATTTAATGCTTAACATAATATATTATATTATTATATGAATTGTGTAATTATATTATTTTAGAGTCGTCTCAATGGTTTAACCACTATGGTTGTTCATCGTGAGGTTGTCAATATAACTGTAAACGAAGACTGGACGAATTGGCAAAAAAAGCCAGATAAATAGATTTAATAATATAAATATCATTAATAATTAATAATATCATTAATATAATATAATTTCCATGTTTAAAAATAAAGATTTTTATATGTAGTGTTTGTTAAAAAATCAGCTATATACTCCCCATGACAAAATCATTTGACCGCCACTGCAATAACGAGAGGTGAAGGGGTACGTGAATGAATAGAATGAATAAAGAATGAAAAATTATTATTTAAATGTTACACTGTTAGCTAAACAATATAGTAATATAGAGTATGTGATTAGTGCATGTTTGATATGTGTTATTTAAAAAATTCGTAAATTGCTTAAAAACGAATACGTTGTAGAAAAACGTAATGTTCTTCCCAATGGGTTTGATAATAGGTAGGTTCGCTCCAAACTACATCAACAGCACCCTCGGCTACTGATTGCAAATTTGCTTTGTTGTTCACTTGTAAGATTGAGACAACATGTACTCGGGTGTGACGTCCATTTAACGAAGGAGCTTGCGGTCAAAATTTTTTTTCATTTCTTATTTTCCACAGAGTTCTGTTCTTTAACCCCTGCTTACGCAAATAAGCCCACCGATGAAATATAGTTCTGCCCGTCGAAAAGCGCACGTGTAACCTTTTAATCATCGAGTCGTGGTGAATATTAATAATGTGTCGTATGGGTGCGTTACCAATTGCGGGAGCCAACAGACGACGAACGCGACGCATAAGAAAAACATGAGCCAGCCGAACGATCTCTCTTCCCTGGTGGCCGCGTTGCACGCGAGCGACATCCCGTTGCTTGTGCGTCTCAACAGCATGTTGTGTTTGTTGAGAGGACTATCTTTCATACACAGAGCTTTCATGACGGCCAAATTCGTGTACGTTATTGCGACGCACAAAAATACACCTGGTGGAACAGAAAATCAAACCATAAGTCACCTACTGTTTCGTTCGTGCCGTAAATCATGATTTCACGGGATAAATTTGACGTGCGGTTCGATTCAACGTCAACGGCAACGGCAACGGATGTTAAATGTTTAATTAATCATTCATCGTTGGTTTTGTCGTTTTTCATAACCATCGCCAACCATCGGCAGAGGATAATTTTACAACGGGTTTACTAGCAAAGTTACTTTATATTTCATATTATTCCCCTACAGATCCTAGACCCAAATGTACTGTGACTGAGAACAGTCGGCAACAAATGTAATTTAAGCGCACCCGCGTTCAATGTTTTATCATAACAGTATGTGTCTGTGATTAATTTAGAAATAATAATAAACGAACGAAGCGATAAACGTATGGTACATTTGTACAAGCTGCAATTAATCATGGTGCGTGGTTGAACGAAAAAAAAAACTATTTATAATAACGTATATGTTATCAAACACGAGTAGGTACTCTAAGATGGTGCGTTCAATAAGTTCTTGTTATTGTTCATTACATGTGTCGGAATACTTTTATTTCAAATAGTTAATGCGTGGGTCGCCTTACAAGTTCACTACGCTCTTACTTCAATTCGAGTAGATTTTACGTTATGATAGATAATTAATGTACTGCAGTAATTTGTGATTACTATGATATGCTCTCGTGGGGGTGATAGTATTATTGTACATGCTCCTAGAACCGATAGGTACTTACCAAAGCTGTATAATATATATATGTACAACACGTCCATTGGTTCTTCGGCGTCTCGAGGACGTCTGCAACTCTGCTTTTGAGCGTCCCAGTACACACCGAACCCGATGAACGGGGCACATACCAAACACAATACTACTAACCATAGAATGATTATCATTCGCTTCAACAAACGAAGGCTAATGTGCTGAAATTATACATTATCAATATTAGTAATCATATTATAGAAACACGTGTCCGACATAGATGTTTATTCATGTCTTTAATATGAAACGGGTAAATTAGGTATAAATGAAACGTATAATTAGTTCCGAATATAATACTGCATGCATGCTCTTACACAAACCAATGAAAACCGTATGTTGATTTAAGCGTGTATAAACGCACATCGGATAAATCGGATGCTTGACCGTTTTTTAAAACAGTTCAATATGGAATATGGATTAGAAAAACGAGAATACTTTGGCAAACAACGATGTCGTATTGCACGATCACGCAAACACACACACAATGCCTGCTGTTTAGTGTGCTTATTATTTATTGCAAGTTATGTCGGCCTTTTATATAATTTTATATAATTTGTACAGGTACTTATTGTATAGGCAATTATTCTCAAATCGTAATTGTGTTTACGAATAGGTACACAATAATAATTATTAAATACACCGTAATACTGTATGTTAGTTATCGAGCGGTAAACATTAGCAAAATAAACATTTACAATTTACAGAGCTTTTTCTAATCAAAAACTGACAATAAAATGGCGTTTGAATTTTTTTTAATTGGTAGGTCAGGAAAAACTATGTCATGAAAATCCATACGTCTTTGGATATTATTTCAACGCGGCCGTCTTTGCTCAGTATAATACTTCAATGTTGCGTAACCGTTTCGGACGATATTGGTCAAAACGGCTAGAGATTTGAAACTAAATCGTTTTTATTATAATTAAAGTTCTAACGTTGATAAATAAAAAATAAATTTAATCATATATCACAGCGGTACCTAAAACTGGGTTCATTGCTGTGTCTTTACAGGAACACTGCACTGCGACGATTGTTATCTGGTTATATAACTGTTTTCTGGTGTCCGTTTATTTTTATCTGGAAGAAAAAAATTGTCACCGTCCTATCAACGATGCAACGAAATACCCTCAGTTCCAAAACGGTGCCGCGAGTCAAAAAAGTTTGGAAATCGCTAATTTATCATGGTATGAATGTTATTCTGGTAATTTAATTTATTTAAACACTAATAATACATCGATGAAGGGCGAGTGGTTTTTGATTTATTTGTATAAATAACGTTATAAACCCGTGGCGCTCTCACGTTAAGTGCCCGGGTTTTCTGAAAATTTACTTTATATGGCCATGAGACCCAATAGTGGGTCTCAATAAATGCAAAAACTTACGTGTTGAGACTCAGATATGGGTCTCACCATATCGTTGCCTTTAACGGGTGATACCACAAATGGGTCTCATTTATCAGTATTTTTTCATTGGACTTGCATTCTACAGTGTTGCCACTTCATTATGAAAGTTTTAGCAACGGAATATGTAATTTATTTAATTTTTTATGAATCATCACAAAAGTTACGTGGTGGTTTGGTCAAAGTTAAGTGAGACCCAACAATAGGTCTCATGGTGCTCAACGTATCCGAACGTAAACCAAAATGTATACTTCATATTCACTGACCGATTTCCCCGGCCGGTTTTGACTGACTCGAGCAACGATATCCGTCGCGAATTTCTAATCGGAACACGCATTCATCACGATCATTTTACCGTCTTGTCATCTGTATGTCGTTAACAACGTTAATCGGTGCCAAAATAACCGAATGATTATCCACGCATACGCTAAACACGCTTTAACTATTATAACGTGAGTGCACTACATCATTGCATCAATTAATTATCATTCAATTAGACGTGCCTACTTATTACCCTATCGGGTAATAGGGATTTGCGAGTATGCGTTTCGGATCCTTTCCTAGCTGCACTGCACGGTGAAAATTTTCCCGACCCGCAGCCTTGGGCAGAGCGACCGGCCATTTTTGCTCCGCTATCCATACGCGAGGACTACTTGACGGTAAACAATAATAGTATATAATACATAACATCCGGCGTGGTGTTGAGACGCACGTATCCTGTAATGTGTACGTGATCGGCACGACCGATCGTCCTAACCATTCCGAAGTGGCTTTTCCGTGTCCTGCAATAACGGACGGTGGTTCGTGCGACAGTCGGACGCACCAAGAAGTTGAAAACGACAATAATGACAATGATGATGGGTAGGTATGGTGGAAGGAAATATTATAACAGTACAATGATTGGAATCACAAAACCAAGCACTAGAAACGCAGAGAAGAAAACCGATTTTGAATCGAAACCAACATTTTCAGATTTTTTAAAGTTTTTTAAATTATTATTATTATCCAGTACTACAGATTTGAAACTAATACAAGTAAAGGGCCTGTAAAGAACATTATTTGACACCAATCCCTATTTAATATAAAGTCTACTGTGAATAGACCCTAAACTTAAAAATAAGATAACGTTTTCTTTGAATATAAAATATAATATAATAATAATAGTAATAATAATATTAATTATAATAATATTTTTACATATGAGTTATATAATAATCGAAATCATAATAAACTGTATCATCAAAATTTTTATCACAATAGATTTATGCTATTAATGCCATTCTTTTGACACTTAGTAAAAAAAAATTGTATATAAATTTGGGAGGGGGATGGTCTTAGACCAGAGAAAATTTTTAAAAAGTTACTTCGCCCTGCGAACGATGTTTTACCCGGCATCGGGTTCGTTATAATGATCGAACGTGGAGCCTCGGACGTATTATTTTGTTGTAATAATATTAGAATGTTGTACAAGACCACAAATCGCTTCGCGTATATTTGCACACGGGAGCTTACGGTTACAGCGGGCGCCACGGCCACGGTGAGTTATTATTTATTGTACACGGCGCACGCACACGAACGACGCGATCGTGCATATAATATCGTGTAGTGTACATACCTGTGTATGGCGTATACAGGATGAGTCGTCGTCGACATACAACGCGGTAATGTTCATTTGCATATTAGATATATTCGCATTGTAATGCACGTGTATTATTTGTGATGATCGGCTAGGTTACGTTTCTATATTTTGTCAATCAACAGTCGTTCGCAATGCAAATACTAACGAGACTGCGACAGGATGATAATAATTGTAATAATAATAATAATAATAATAATTTCGATGTGTTCGCGTGGTGAATATGAAATACAAGCGCTTGCAATTCCGTACGCTCAACAGTAATAATAATAATAATGATAATGATAATAATGTGTGTACAATGTAATAGGATTTTATTGGCGTTGAAACGAAAACTTTCACGACGTCGCGATCGTCCGGTCCCCGCGGAAAGTTTTCACGGGGTTCGACGACGGAAATTACTACCACCATGGGTTCTCGGCAGTAACTACATTTTGTCTCGTCAACCCGACCGCTATGTGTGTACGCCATTAATTTTGTTGTAAAAACGGTGATCGGACGAACGCGCAGACGTGTTGACGAAAGGAACGATATTGGTTTTCGCGACAAGGGTGGTCGCAAAGCGAGAGGTACAACCAACCAGTGGTGTTCCTGTAGGGTGTGTTACATGTAAGCCGCATAGTCCTAACATCATTTTGGAAATTTACGGGTATACGTACTACTTGCACTCTTAAGTCTCAAACACTTCACGCAGAAGTATTAAATGTAATATGTTTACAGGTTTCAAATTTAGGCTTATTTTGTTATTGACATTCGGTTTTCTTGCGGGAGATCGGTGTATTGCTATGAAGTACTCGTTGACGGTGTTCAACGTATTTACGTTGGTATCATTTTAATTTATATTCATGTAAAAAATACAAATCTATACGTTTCAGTTTTTTTTTTTTTTTTTGATATCTACAACCGTTTCCTTTCGCCACCGTCCAAAATTATAAAAATGTTCACATGCAGGCATTCTTCGGCGCATTACGCTTTCGACAAAATTGATGAGAACATCACTGTGTTCGATTCGCCCTGGAGTAAGTATTGCGCGGTACACGGCGATACAACAATGAATCGCGTTTCGAACGTCGAAAATTAAAAATATAATTGCGTTTTGAATGCATGCACTACGGTTTCAATAATAGCTCTGCGGATTTGGGTACAGTAGGATGCGCGCAGTAGAGTGTAGCATCGCGAAGAATTCGTTATGTTCTTCCTCCTTCCTGCTACACGACGAATGGGAAGTCAAAAATTTCTGCGTGCGTGCGCGAACGTTTTATAATACATCAAATATATTTTACACGCACACGCACATAATATTTTGTTTTACTGGCGACCTTCAAAGTAATTAATCTACGATCTTAACAAAGTGTGACAAACGGAATAACAATTATTATCAATCGGCAAAAATATTCTATATACGTATTGTTTATTTTTAACCCTGTGCCGCTGTTGTTTTGTACAACTAAACGTGTTGCTTTCATCGATGTACCGAATAAGTTTCCAGAAAAATGAAAAAAAATTACCAACACCCGTTTTCTGTCGCACATCATTATATTTCTCTTTTGCTATCTGTTTTTTCACACTTGTGCCCCGCCGAATGTTATTGATCAAAAACTGTGAAATTCGAGTGCATAAAAACTTATCAGAGCACATAGCTCATTTTTCTTCTTCTTTTTTTTAGCAACTTCTGTCTGTTGCTCTTTCAATTATAAACCCCCCGCGGGTATAACTTATTACTGCGAAAAAAAAGACCAATTGATTCGATACATAAGGTCAAATGATACTAAACCCAGTTGTTTTACACCATGCCTGTTTAATAAGCGATAAATGACCGCTTATAGTTTAATATAAACAAAATAATTTAGTTTAATGTGCAAATCATAAAATACAATTATTTAGTTTCCTAAACATTATATTGAAATTGATTGTAATGATATATTTGTCATGTGGATGTTAAAAGATTTTCCTAATTTAATTCAATCCATAGTGCTAATAATTAAACTTAGCGAGACCAAATCGAACACGCAATTTAATCGAGAATCGTAAAAAACAAATAAATAACCGTTTTAATGTAACACGATGATTTCAAATACTAACTAGAAACTCTCGGATTTTTGAATTTAATTGATCGTGATATCGGTTT